ATTCTTCGTCTAGAGACGAATGAGACACCGCGTTAAGCCTATGTAACATAAACCTAGCAGTAAGCTTATGCTGCAACGGAGCTATGAGCTTTATGTCGCCATGGTATTGCTGTTCAGACGGTGGTAGTGGTAAGTCCCTCCTTCATCATGGGGTATATATAGAAGACATATGGATGGTCATATGGTGTCTATTCTTTGTCGAGCGTATAGTGTGTAGACCTTTCGTACTTGAAACCATCAAAGCATCACTGCTCGCTTAGAGAGCAGTATTTTTCTCTTCTTTCGTCAGTGATTATATATCGAGGACAACAGAATTGAGTTTTAGTTCAACCTGGATTGACAGAGGGAGACAAGCAGGCGATGAGGCAAGGAATCTCCAATCATGGGAGTTCTCGCTCTCCCGTTGTTACTTTATTCAACAAAAGCTTCCAGTAGACGTCTGTCAGCTTAGGGCAGTCAATCTTGCGGTGATACAGCCCTTCCCACAGCCGCTCTGCAGATACGCCTGGATCCAGTACATGTTCAGCGCCTTCTGCATCGTTTTGAGGTTGATCACACCCAGTCCCCCTTCTGCAAGTGGCCTCATCGCCTGGACATTCGCAATTGGCCGGGTCGCGAATCCCAGATATATTTGCACAGTACCTTCTGGATATGCATGAGCTCATTGACCGTCACCGGTAAGCAGTGGATATAGAACCACAGCTGGCTTTGTAGGCACGTGCGGGCTACGGTACTGGCCCAAGGAATGGGAAATTGGTCCATGACGCGCGGGCCACGGCTTCGTAGCCTTCTCGGGGGGTTACGATAAGTGTACGAGAGACCCCAAAGAGAGCTTCAGATCGGAAAGAGTGGAATTTAGTAACTTTCATGAAGTTGGAAGCAACAGAGGGCCACCCGCCCCTGACTTGGCAAATGGTGCTTCGAAACTTTTTGCGTTTTCTTGCCTGCTTCCGTAGGTCGAGACGTTGAGTCTGGCTTGTTCATTTTTTTTTGTCTGCTTTATCTTGTCAATGATGATTCCAGCTTCGAGAAGTTGCCTCGTTTTCTTCCATGATGTCAAGAGAGTGTATTGTAAGAGATGGTACTATAGCGCCAGACCCAGAAGACATGGATTACCAGGATCAACAAGTTGATGTTGATGTTGATATTGATGCTCAATGTCGAGGTATTTCTTTGGCTGTAATTAGACACTTCTTCTTGCGTCAATCACTCGTATTGAAGAAGAATTGGCCAGCTCTTTTCCGTGTACCCTGCTCATATGGAGGAACAAAACGGATTGATGGATGGCAGGGAAAGGTAATAGTGTCAATTGAGACTGATGATTCGTAACCGTCTCTGGTATGGACGCCAACTAGTCTATACCGACACCGTATCTCGAGCCTTTGCACAATGGCTTGACACTTCTCCTCTTCCATTAGTCATGAGTCAACAGAGTCTATCATCATCCAAAAAGCCAAACAAGGCAAAGTTCGCCAAGGTCATGGATCAGAAATTCTGATCTGAATCAGCCAGAGTAAGTCGAACCATGATCTTCTCCTTTCCTGAAAGTCTCTGTGTCTAGGTAGGTGTAGTATATATATAAATTCCGGACCAGCAAGCAGACCCTATTCTGTCCCAGTATTTCTTCCCCGCGCCATTCAAGGTGTCTTCACATACATATGAAAGCCTTAACTGGCATCATGTCGAGACTTGAAAATAGCCTGTCGTGCTCACCAGATCCGGGTTCCCGGTGGGGAATGTCAAAGTGCACCGACTCTGTACCGCTGATGGGTGAAACAAGGGACCAAGGTGCGAGTAAACATCTCCTCCGAGTACTCCTCATCTTCAGTAGGACCCACAGTCCGGAGGGGGCCTGTCGAGTTCATTGGATGACGTGCCACTTCATCAATGCTGTTTATTCCGAAGAGCCAGCCCCAAATCATGGACATTCATTGTTGTGTACTCGACAAGCTCTGATATACTTGGCTAAGCAACGCAGCAGTCGATGCTAAGGCAATACACGTCTTTCAGACAGTATCAATATCATCGATAGCTCAAGCCAGCCATGCGACGCAGCCTAAGATACACCTGCCACTAGCCTCCCGCTTGATGTAAAACTGCCCGGACTTCAGGGAAGATTAATATACTCATAATGCTCAATACTCCCATTAGTCGAGAGTGGGTATTCTTCCACAATCACTTGTTCTCCAGCTCTTGATATCAGATAGCAACTGACTGCAGAAAACCAACCGGAGAGGATGTTGTCTGAATAACAACGGACTTAGTATATAAGCTCTCGAGGGGCTATTCCCTGATATCAGAACAGCGCACATTGCACAAGTGATCTGAAGGTTAGGGCAACAAAGGATACGGGAGTCACAGAATTCAAGAAACCCGCATCTGCCATCACAATAGTCCGTCTCCCTGCCTTCTTATCTTATGTTTATTCTCTATGCTGACGTTCTTCAGAACAGGCCATCGCATGTGCAGAAGCACACCCACACCCAATCTTTGAGAGCATCATATTGTAGCGAGGCGAATCGTGGTGCAAATCGCATGTCGATACAGCGTCAGCTGTGGTATGGAAAGAAAAGATATCACGATCCACCCGCTCCGTAAAAGGCATCGCTCTGATGTCCTGTCTGCACCTTGAGAAGGATATTCCAAAAAAGGTAGCTGGACTGTGTTGCTGACGTAATGGAGTATTCTGGGATGAGCTTGTACTCTCGCGAGAACAGAAGCATTTTTCGAGAAGAAAAGCATCTCGTGGTGTTGCAGGGGCTTTCCCTCAAGGTCGGAGAATCGCGTGGAAGTACTCAAGCATGGCTCGGACGTCTCGCGTCACGAGCATGGATGAAAGAAGTCATATGAAAGCGACACTCGAGGAGGTAGTGAATATTCTGGGTGGTAGCAGAATAAGAAATTGTTGTAGGAGAGACATTTGTAGCATGTTGCCTTCTAGTCATGGGGTCTGAGAAAGGTATCTCAGGGAGCTTCTCAACGACTGAACTCGCCGAGTTTCACACTGCCCTGGAGCTTCCCACCGCAATCACTAGTAGTTCCTTTTCGATTCTATTTTGTGGTTCATCCTATTCCTGGCTTTTCTGTAGGGGCGTCATGTTCTCTACCCATGACATTTCTCCGGCTAACCACGACGGTTGTATATGGGTCGGTTCGTTAGGCATTTCTTGCCATGCAAGATTGAGGCCCCGATTATCGACAAAGCAGTCAAATAGCTCCGCCCTCTTATTCTCTGTCTGCCTCTTTTGGCCTGGTAAGGGTTTATATATCCGTAATCCATTTTGCAGACCCCATGGCGTGTCAGTTTACGGCAAATAGCACCCACAAGAATTCGTACCTTCTTCGGTACTAGTTGCCACAGGCACTCATGTCTTGTATCGCCTTATAGATATCGAAGCGATTATTGGATACCACGTACGTGGCCTCTTGGAAAAGAAGATGGAAGATGCTATGAGGGATGTGTATGCGATCAATGTCCAGATCAAACCGGGCCAGGGCACCCCATCATTGGTCATCTCGCTATCATTAGTCGACTCATTATTCGTTTATATATACCAACAACTTCAAAGGGAAACGTTGAAGAGCAGCGCGATGTGCCGCAACTCCGCCACTCCACCCAGCGCAGACCCATATGTCCATCGAAGGTCAGTTCTCTGGTCACAGGCACCTGTATGTCTCTCTTCAGTCATCTTCGGTGTACATGGTGAAAAATATTCCATTGATGAGACGGCATCGAGACGACTGATGCAGCGACATGCCAGACACGGTGATTGAGCTCAAGCCGAAGAACCTTGAATTGGACAGAACAGAGCCAAGAGTCATTGCGGATCACCATGTCTTTTGGACTCTGTCCACGAAGCCACAGTGCCATTGATATGGGAATGGGCCGCTTTCTTTTTCGCTATTCTTCGTGCTGCTAAAGCAGTATGATGTATTGTGTATTATATAGACGGTTATATATGATGTTGAGGGGGCAAACGCCCCCTCTGTTGCTTGGTGATGGTTTATATATTAGAGACTCTGATCAGATTGTGTTTGCTGATGATGAAAGAAAGACTGGATGAGTAGCAGGGCAGTGGCTGTTTATATAGGAGTGGGTGGACCTTGGGCTACCAATCCAAGGGAGGAAATTCCCTGCATACAGCAGGGTAATTCCATGAGGGATCGGGACTTACCATGGTTCTGTCAGCCTTCTTGAACAGCTAGAAGCACTAAATTATTTGGAATTTCCCGGTAAATCTTCACAGAAGAAGTCATCACTTGTGTGGTGGAGATTCCAAATAGGTTTGGGAATCTGGACACCTGTATGACGAGGCATGATCCGATTGCGTCATCGTTTAATCTAGCAATTTTATGGACGTATTCATAAGTCAAACTTAATACTGGCTGTTTATTCAAATAACCCTGACATACTGTAGTTCCTAGGATATACAGTGCAATATCGTTTGTGAATGCTAATGCTTTTCGCATAAAATGTTATAGTAGACATACTATACAAGTGAACCTCGATGACAACTTCAGTTTGTGAAGAATTACTGGGAAGATCACAAACAATATTCCTACTACTATACACTTTCAAAAATCTAGTCTAAACCTTCTCCTCCGGTCCTTTTTAGTCATTGTAATAATATAAATGAAGTTTGACCCAATATGATGCCGAAAGCCTAGATAATCAAGATAAAGTGAACCACCGGGAAGGAAGAGCGGAACACCCACCCACTCACCCAATGGATGATGCATCAAACCACCACTTTAAATCCAACCTCAACTCCAAGCATACCCCAGTCAATCTAAGCAAAGCTTAAAATCACACCATCCATTTTCGCTCTACTTCAATTTCTCTGAAAGAAAAAGGATAATATCAATAACAATGCCCCGACCATGACCCCCGCCCATCATCATCTCCAACAATACACTCATCAATTACCACCAAAACGCGTGACGCGTGAACCCATCCACCATATCACCCCAACCCAACTCAACACAAGACAACACCAGAAATGAACCACCTAGGCCTTCCTCTATCTACTCAGGATCCTCGTATTTTTACCTTTTGATTCCTTTCATTATGAGAGAATTCGGGCTAACTACTCACCAGACCGCGTAATCTCCTTCCCGGCCTCGCAGTCCCTACACGCGTCCACCGCGTTCCCAGATGCTGCCTCAGGCAGCAAGGCCATCCCGACTGGGCTGGTCGCGCTGGATGAGGCGATCTCTGCCCCGGTGATATCGACGACGTCAAATGAGCGAATACGTGAGTTTACTGAGGGAAAAGGAGAACAGCCAAAGGGGTTGCCGGTTGGTCATGTTACGGAGGTGTTTGGGCCGCCGGGGGCGGGGAAGACGATGTTGGGGTGAGTCTGAGTTTATTTCTCTATATTGATTTATAGGTGGTTTGAGTGGAGTGGGTCGGTAGTATTATCTGATGTGGTGCTGATGAATGGTGGTTAGGTTGAATGCTGCTGCTGGTGCGCTGGGGAGGGGGGAGGGAGTGGTTTGGATAGGTAGGTTTCTTCCTATTGCTTGTGTTTGATATGAGTTAACAGTTGTTCTTTGGGGTGATTGAAGATACGGCATCGCCACTTCCTAGGCCTCGACTGCGCAAACTGCTCGAGTTGCAGTCTTCCGCATCGCCGTCGTCTCCCAGGTCCGAGACTGAAAACCTAACGTATATTCGTGCCCCCACACTCCCTCATCTCCTCTCTCTCTTCCATCATCCACCTGCCTCTTTTCCACCCCCAAACACAACTCTCCTTGTTATAGACTCTGTCTCTGCCCCCTTTACTCCTTATTTCCCAAACCCTAGTGATATTAACCAACCGCAGCAAGCGCAGAGGGATGTACAGAAATGGCTCACAACGCGAAAGTGGAACGTCATTAGCGATCTTGCTGCTCAATTGGTGAAGTTCGCAAGCAGGGCGAACCTGGCTATCTTGGTTATCAACCAAACGCATACACGAATTCGGGGACAGGTGAGGGCAACGCTGTCTCCCATATTGAGTGGAAGGGGGTGGGAATCGTGCGTTCGTGCTCGGATCGGGGTTTATGGTGATTTTGGGTATGGTGGGGATGGCGGATGGGTAAGGGTTGCGGAGGTCATGAAGAGGGGTGGGAGGCTTGTCACTGTTAGGGACAAATCAACCGTAGTGCCTTTTCGGGTTGCAAATGTGGGTTCTTCTGATTTCCTTTGTTAATTCTTTGCTTGGCTGTAGGTGTGTTGACTTGTCGACTAGGATGGATTGTATGCTGTTGAAATGGGGCTCGAAGGTAATGAAGAAGATGGCGTCGCCGTACAAGTCAGGGAGAAGCAAGCACAGGATGAAGATGTGCTTGAACCGGAAGAACCATTGGAAGAGGAGCCGGTGGAGGAGGAAGAGCCAGAGCTTGAAGATTACCAAGCACAGGACGATTCCGCACAAGAGGAGCTTGCGCCCGAAGACCGTGCACCAGAAGAGCCTGTACCAGAAGAGCCCGCATCAGAAGAGTCTGCACAAGTGGAGTCTGCGCAAAAGCAACCTGCACCAGAAGAGCCCGTAAATGAAGCGTTGGTGCATAAAGAGCCTGTGCACGAAGGGCGCACACAAGAGGAGCACTTGGAGAAGATACAGACCCAGGAGGTTCAAGCACAGAAAGAGCAAGCACAAGATGTCCACTCCGACTCAGCTCCTGATACTGCAAGCCAGCGGAAGCGAAAGGCAGAGGAGATCGCGGACAGCCAGGATGAGGAAGATTCGGAAGGGGTATTTGAGTAGGTCAAAGGTGGAGAGGATCAAAGTATTATCTGCCTTAGTATAGAGTTCTATATATACCCATTGTTTTGGATAGGAAGCAGTCCATAGGTGCCAAAACCTGCTTTATGGCACCCGCACCAATCCTATGAATGAGCTAGTCGATACATCATCATCGGGAATGCGATTTGTGGGTTAGCAGTGATCGTCATTTGGCCGCTGAACCCAAGCTGAAAGCTCCCTCATTGTCACGAGTTTTCCGGTGTCGAGGTTGATGTTTCTATGGGTTCCATTAGCGTACCCTGTGCCTGGCACGCAAAACGGTGTGCGGCTGGATACACTTTCTCCAGCAGATGCTAGGCTCCGATCCGGAGCGCTGGTAGTTTCTCGGTCCAAAGAATAGAGATTGATGTCCCGGTCAATCGATATCGGCCGGCGATTCTGTACCACAGCAACGAGCCGGCCCAAAACAGCAAACTCAAGCTTCAGTTTGATACTGTATATCGCTCCTTTCAGCGTGATCTGCACAGCATAAAAGCTGGCATACTCAAGACCCAGTAATACGAGGTCCATAACCAGCATAGCGACGTTGATCCAAATCAACTGATACATGATTTTTTGGTTCTCACGGACAAGACATATCCGCAGCATTAACAAAGTCTCCCACATGTATAGTCCAGACAGAACGATCTCCTGGATGGTAAAGCCGGTCATCTGAACCTTCTCCATGATATTGTATCCAATCACCCAGGCTGGCTGCTCATCACCGACAGCATTGGATCCGTATGTCAAGACTGTCGTGGGTACATGTAGGAGGAATACATTCGCAATAATCATGTACAGCACTCGCTGTAGGATGCGCTCGTCGCAAATGACAAGGTGGAGTCGTGAGTACAGGACGACCGCCTGGCCCGTGACCATGACCCACCAGCCGATACTAAGTATAGTGACAGATAGATTCGAAGGGGCTTGCGTGAAGAACTTCATAATAAAGCCCAATGTGTATGGTAACACGCCTGCGCAGCCGGATAACAGCAGGCTCCAAAAGTATAGGCCCTTCCATCGTCGGAAGGTCGATAGGACCATGACAACTAGCTCAGCCACATTGTAGCAGGCAATGGCCATGAAGAATAACAAAGTGGCTTTGAAGGCACCACCACTGCTTGCGAGCTCGCCGCTGATGCCATCCAGCGGGTCTTTCGTAGATGATACGGACATAGTAGTTGATAAATGCGAAGTCAGGGAAACACAGAATTAGCATTCCGTGTGCACGAGCCGGGTATCGATAGCGCCGGCGTCACAGGCTATGTTTAAAAGCCAACCGAAGTGAAGACCACAACGCCAATGTCCACCTGAGTAGATTGCAGATTGAGATTCACACGCTCAGCTCTCAACTAATTGAATGAAGTCGTTGTAGGCAGTTCGCCGTCTCTGAGTACCCGCGCCATCAATGTCGATACCTGTGGTCAGAGTACCATCCACATGTTCTCAGCCTTGGAACAAACGAGTCGCAACCATCAATCAATCTCACGGTAGCGTCAGGCATCAATAGATATCTCAAGAAGGAAAGGTTGTTGAATTGGAGTCTGCACAACACACCGCATCCAGGGTCCTGACGTGGTACAACTATCCAGAGTAGTCGATAAAGTCCGGGCCACCTCGGACAGAGTTTCATCTAATGTCCTAGCGCCGTCAGATCTGGGGAAGTGGAAGGATGCGAAGCTAGTTGCCAGTGGTGGAGGGGCTTGGGGTAAGGGGGCAGATCAAGCTTGGGCCACGGCGAGGGTGGACGATGGTTAGAATGTCAACTCAGGGACGAGCGGACGATGTTTTGAGGAAGTCTTGTCCGATCGGCGAGCTGGATGACAGGTAAAATCGCCATTGTTGAGTCCCCGCTTAGGCTTGCTGGTCTTAGTCATTGCTTTTGCTGCGGAGAAATTGGTGGAAGGAATGGCGTCGGCGATCACTAGTCAAGATGGCTGGCGCTGATGGACGTGTGACTGCTGCAGTGACCCGCCCACTGACAATCAAAAGGTCCAACGCTGGAATTGCTTCTGTGTAAATGCCCAGGTTTCCTCCCGAGCTAGATTGGTCATTCCCATTTTGCAGAAAACAAAAAGGACGGACTGACTACGACGTTACAATGGGGGCTCTATGGGTCCAGTCCATCCTGCAGATGCTGTGTGGCCTGCAGGCCCAAAGCCCAGCAGCCCAATTACTGGGTCTAGGAAGACAGGTGCAGTCGTGCAATTTCATTGACAATAGCATTCATTTCCGATCAGGTTTTTGAAGTATTACTGGCGAGTCTAGAACCGCCCAAATATTCGTCAGGTTCCAGGGTCACTCCTGAAAACCCACCTTTCAGCTCCCCGGTTACTGCGTGGCCGGGACGCCCTGTCATATCGCGGAAACCTCGCAAGACTTGAGTCGTGTCTATTATACTACAAGGCTCGGTATGTCAAGATCTGTATCGATCTATGGGGTAGTTCATAGGTTGGTGAGATAGTCCTCAATCTCCTCCTTACTCAGCTTCCTGAAACGGGGTCCGCGCGATCCTTCGACACCCTCATAACCAAGCAGATGATCGGCGGGAGGACCAACAATGCCTGTTATCGTCAGCAAGACAGCAATAGAATCTGCCAGATGTGAAACTCACCAATTTCTATCGTATCACCGTTCATCTCTCCCTCGATGGTCTCCTTCAAAGTCAGGAGAGCAATGTGAATGGCATCTTCCAGCTCGAGACCCTCGGTGTAACGTTTCTCAAGGAATGTCTTTGCGCTCGTCGCATGTCTTCCAATGGCCGTGGCCTTCCACGGATAGTAACTGCCACTGGGGTCGACCTGGTACAGACTGGGGCCGCCCTTCAAGATACCACCCGTCTTGCCAGTTGCTTTCTTAGGCTCGTCCTCGCCATCACCCCGCTGGGCCTCTCCTGATTCAGGCTCAACGCCCTCGTCCCAGCCAGCAATCAACAAGCTGACACCGTACGGTCGGACACCACCAGATTGAGTCGCTTCTTGAACAACTCGGGCAACGTCCTGCACTAATATCCGGGTAGGGGGGTATTCGTTATAGATGCGCTTGTAGCCAGTGTGAGAAACCTTGCGGGCCCGGTCCACGAGCACACGGTAGTCTGGGCCCATTCCAGCGTAGACCATGCCGATGTCGGGTGTAATCAGGGAGATCTTGGAGAGGGAAGGCGGGTCAATGAGAGGTGAGTTGGCTTTCTTTTCGGTTGCCAGAACAATTCCGTTGGTAGCTGTTGAGTAGCGGTGGTCATCAGTAGCTATTCGAGCTAGGCCGGGTGGATCAGAGCTATGTCATACCTTTGATGCCCAGAGCAGTTACACCCTGGTTGACAGCGTTCAAGGCATATTCTAGAACTAGTCAGCACATTTGTTTAAACAGCTAAAGTAGGTAGCTGTCTTCATTACCAATCTGAACCAGCTTTCCGCTGAGCAATGTTAGCAAGGACCCTAGCTATCGAGCAGTGAGCTTCTCTTACCTGGGGGAAAACGTGGTCAGAGAAAAGGAGTAGCGATCAGCCATGAGTGCGTCTTTCCACAATTACAAGCTCCGGCGGGTATGAGAATGTGCAAAAGTGATGGATGAAAGGTGAACGGAGATGGGATGAGGTCGTGGGGGATCAAGAATGGAGCTACCCTCAAGGACAGCAGGCGGCAGGATGTTGACGCAGCAGCAGCAGCACCGCCGGCTGGTTCGGCGCCAAGCCGCGCCTCGGGCGGTGACGGTAGGCGAGCGGCTAGTGCGGTTACGGCACGACTTCTTCTCCACATCGCCTTTTTAAGCTGGCCTCTTTTTCCCTCACCCACTTTTCCCTCTTTTTTCTCCTCGTCCTCGCGCATCTCTCGACACAAACGCCTACCAGTTACCGCTAGAGGTTCTCAGATCGCTGGTAGGTCTGAGAATCATATTATGCCATTGGCTCTGAGACTGTTCAGGCAAAGGCAGAATGGACCTGCGCAATGAGCCGCTCTGGCAGTGGCCTTCGAGCTCTGCCTCCGCCTCAGCTTCGGACCCTGACTTTGATGTAAGGCAGAGTCCAGAAGATGTTGCTGGACCTGATGAACCTTCGCAATCTTCAGGCGAGACTACCAAAAAGCATTACCCTCCTCGTACATGTCGCATCTGCCTGGAGACCGTCTACCCTACCTTCCCTCCTCCATCCGAACACCTGCCTGGGTTTCTTCAGTCCAAGCAACGCGTGACATACCAGTCCTCAGACCCGGAGTCGGGTCGGTTGCTTCGCCCTTGCAAATGCAAAGGATCCTCGCGTTATGTGCATGAGGGATGCCTACAACTTTGGCGTCATGCGGACCCAGGCTATGGCAAGAGGAATTACTGGCACTGTCCGACATGTGGCTTCCGCTATCGCTTAGAGCGCCTCCGATGGGCACACTGGATCAGTAGCCCATTGATGCAGCTTGGACTTACTTTAATTATTCTAATGTTGACTGTATTTTTACTTGGTTTTATTGCTGACCCAATCATTAATCTATACGTGGACCCTATGGACCCCATTATCCGCTCGGATTACTGGGATACACGCCCTGTGTCGAGTATATTACCGGACAATGAAGAGGCTTCCTGGACTGAGCACTTCATCAAAGGGCTAGCCTCTTTGGGCTTTCTGTCTTTCATCAAGGCTGTGTTTGCACTTTCTTCACGGCATGGATTGACACTGCGCGGCACAGGGATGTTTGGTGGCGGAAGGAATTCTGGCCGCAACCGGGTCGCGTGGTTGGTCATCGTCATCGGTGTTGGTAGTTTCCTTTGGGTATGTTTACATCATGACTTCTCCTTTTATAGCAACTTCTGACCGCGAATACTAGGCCGTTTACAAAGGTGTAAGAACATGGAGCTGCAGGGCTCTAGAAAAAGCTGGAGAGCAAGTCATGGATGTTCCGTTGCCCGACGACGAGGATGAAGATGATAAAGCCTCTGCTGAAAAGTCCGAGGAAAGTAAGAAGGAAGACTGACCTTGGTCCGACGTATGTCATCTACAGTCATGAACCTTCGTATCTAAATTTGTTTTTGTTTCTTTAAGTGCTCTATTCGCTGGCGATATCCACGCACTACTTTGAGTTGTCACACTCCTTATCAATGAGGTGCCAATCAGTCACTGTGCGAAGAACGAGGCAGACCCTCGCTAACCTCACAGATCATGTTCTGTTTAAGTAGTGTGGCTGGCGAGGACGTTTTGTTCTTTCCTTTTCACCTGCTTAGTTTCCGCAGTCATGACTGGAGGGAGGGTCAAACTGCATCTCGATTAAACTAGACGCTCGATTTTTCTGTAAGCGTCATGGATTGAGATGCGGTACACTATACGTAGTTTCATATACCCTGAATGTTATTACCTTGTGCCTCTATTTAATTAATGTCATTCTTAAGTACATGTTAGTTTCTCGAGCCAAGCTGTGCTGGTGGGCAAATTGAATTGAGACTTGCTCAAATACGAAGATCGAGGCAACCCTGCTTTGACTTTATCTCACCACTACAAGCGGGGTAACAATGCCCACGAGTGAGTAGGGATGCCCAACTCTGACTATCCGGTAATGTTTCAAGGGTATCTGCCCACCGCAGATCGGCACCTATTTGTAGACCAAATATCGAAAAATTATTAGCAGCGATAGCAATCTCATCCAGGCAATCTTCTTTTTGTATAAACACTTTCTTGGTCCTTTGCCCATGCCATCATCACCAGTTTCAGTTCTCATAGTCAGTAGTGCTTGAGCCGAACCACGGGAAGGGCCGTTCCGCCAGTGGTTGATCCACTATACAACGCCCAACTATTTATTCATGAGACATGGAGTTATTTGCGACATTTCTCACATTTACAATGCAATCGACGATTCAGTATGAGTGGTGATTGAGGACACTAGGTTGGTCTGATACCAAGTGAGAAATTCCGTGTTTTATCCTCGATTCATGGCGTTGAGCCCTAGTAGTCTTCGTCTGTTCTTCATGTCAGTAAAAGCCAGAACCATTGGGTAAGCTCATAGCCCTACTTCTGCCAGAGGATGGAAGCAATTCATATAGACACGAACCACAAGTATGCCGGTATGGTTCGATATCGTGCGCGCGATTGCAACCTTCCAGACCAACTATCTCGAACGGTCAAAGATAGCCGTTATAGGAGATAGTCACATCAAGATAGTTTCCGTCCCTGTGCCCACAACCGCTGTTCCTGTGATCACAGCCGCACGGTCAAGTAGTTCAAGGCGTTGGCAGCAGTATACACAGTGAATCTTTCATTGCTTAGTCGTCGCCGAGATCGCATGGCCCGCTTTGATAAGTGTTCTCAGGAAGATGATCTCCCAGTGTTCTTCTTCTCTCGTCATTACTCTCATCCAACATCATCATATTCGATCTTTCTCAAGTTACTCAAGGCATTGTGATACTGTGTGTGGACTTTTTTCTGCAAGAGCAGTTGTGCATAGCTCTTTATCACACAGACAGTCGCTTCAAGATCTCTGGTGTTCATGAACACATCTGAGCAGTTGTGATATCCTTTTGCGGCGTTCTCTTCCCAGCTCCCAGTGCACTTTTTCACAGTCCTAGGACACGCGATCACTTGCCTATCATGGCATCTGCACTCACAAGCAGTGGATCTCTCTCCGCCAAGTCGAGCATAGAGTCCTGTATCCGTGACCTGTACCGCCACCACATCGCATATCTTGAGGGGTATCCCGAGCAAGCCCAGGATGAAGACAAGGGGATGGTCTCACCTATCAAAACCAACAACGAGAGTTCTGCTATAGAGACAATTATAGCAAACATGCCCGATAATAGAAGCGAGAGTATTGGGGAGCCCGGACCCTCAGTGAATGAGGAACCCATAGAGCCCACTCCGACCTTCCTCACTCAAAACAGACGCGATTCTGGTCTCCCACTTCCTCTACACGTTAACACAGAGCGTTTTCCCGAGTACTACAGGTCGTGTGAAAACCGTGACGCCTATCGAAACAAGCAGATCGAAGATTCATACAAACTAGCCGTCTCCAAGGTTTGCGAGGAAGTTATCAACTTCAGACAGATTGATTCGCTAGCAACTGCGCCTCTTTCCTTCACCATGGCGGGTGAAGAGGAAACCACCAACGCGAGCACTATGACCAATGCATCAGAGACCCCTAAGATCGAAAGCCCCCCTACCCCAGCCTCACAATTGAGCACCAACCAACACGCAGGAGTTGGCTCTGACTCGATTCCACTTGTGCCCGAGGAGCGCAAGAAGAGTACCCTCGAACAAATGAGGGCCATGACCAGCTCAGAGCATATGAGCCTGACTACCAAAACACGCTTCATCGATATGAGCAACACTGTTCTTCGACTTGAGCTCCTCCTCTTTCGCAGACACGCTACTCCCGTGGATCCAGTCCTCGGACTGACCAAAGACGAAGTCAAAGAGGTCATGCACCACTTAGAAGAGCTCAAAAAATGCATCGGCATTGTGGACCACATCTTGCAACAAGAGCTCACCTGGGCGCGCCGGGTGGAGTATTCGGTCAAGCAGATCGCAGAAGATACGCAGTACAACGTGGTGACTCGGTTCAGAAACATGACTGAACTGATTCTAAAGTATGTCTTTCCCCCCCTCCCATTCTCTCACTCAATACCACAAAGCAAGGCAAAGCAAAGCAAAGCAAACTCAACTAACGCCTACCCACTCCAGCCATCTCAACAAGCCTCGCCCATCTGAGCGTGACCTTCTCACCGTCTTCCTGGACTTCTTCGACGCGTACATCTACACCGACTTCATGAATGACTACCAGCGCCAGCTTCCCGTGAAGGAGAACTGGAACCCCGTGCGCGTGGAAATGACTCGTGCCCTCATCGCAGTCTGGGATCTGATCAACCGGGCTATCGAGAGTTACGATGCCATTATTAGAGTCACTGTGGACATCAAGGAACGGTACACGGAGCCTCACTACAGAGAGATGCAGGAGACTCCTCAGGCCTGGAGAAGCGCCATGCTCGCGCACCATATCGAGGGTGAGCGTGAGCGGCAGCGCCAGGCTGCTCAGCGGGCAGAGGCCAGGAAGGTTGCGTATGAGCAGGCGCAGGAGGAGAAGCGCCGCGAAGAAGAGAAGAAGAAGAAGGAGGAGGAAGCGAAGACAGTGGTGGGGGTTAAAGATTACGTTCCTTTCACTGCAGAGATGGATCCGACGGTTAAGGTCCGGGACTTTGCGTATGAGGCGCTGGCTAAGGCTGCGCAGCCTGCTGTGTCTGGCTCTAAGGATGATGAGGATTCGGATGATGGTTGGGTGTTCTGAAGGTGACTTTTAGGTTTGGATGAAGCTTATTTGACACTGGTTAGGTCATGAGGTGAATTGAGGATTGGTGTGAGAGAGGGGATTCTAGGGATCTGATACATATGCAAGAAGCAATGATTTCAAGATACCAATGAGAGAAGAGCGAAAGCAAGGTGACGGATGAAAAATGAAAACTCAAAAAAAGAAAGAAAAGAGAAATCGAAGGAAAAAAAAAAAATGAACAAGGATTAGGAGGTGGACTGACAGAAAGGAGCACATTTACATACTTACATACTTGATGTAGTAGAAGCTAGATAGATCTGAGATGTATTCTAGTGAAACTATCATAGCTCGTCAGCCAGCCGAATACTATAGTAACTCCAATCCAATAAAACCCACAAACGTAAAAAATCAATCTTATCTCATTTCGTTAATGATAATTCACATCTAATTCTTAATCTTCGCATCACAATCCCTAAACGCTCCCAACTTAAACAACCTCGCCGCATTATCCCTCCCAATCTTAACCTTATCCACAAGATTCAACTCAGCGCCATCAAACCAAACACACGCATCCTCAAACGTCTCAAAGGGATAATCAATAGAGAACAGAATGCGATCGACCCCGACCTCCGCCATACAGAAGTTCAAAGTGGTGGTGGAAAAGTGCCCTGACGTAGTAATCCAGATATTCTGAGCAAAATACTCCCGAATCGTCTTCTTACACGTCTCCGCCAACCCTAACAACTTCTTGCGATCCTCGAACCAATGATTAATGCGCCACATATCGAACGGAACATGTTCACCCAGATGGCCCATGATAAGCTGCAGGTTAGGGTGCCGATCAAACACCCCGTTGGTGACCATCCCTAGCACATGCAGACTGACGCCCTGGGCGAAGCTGAGCGGCGGACCCACGAGCCATTTCCGATCGGCCCAGAGCTTCTCGTAGATCGTGCCGGTGGGGTTGCGCGGGTGCAGGTAAAGGGGCACGTCGAGTTCCGTGCATGTTTGCCAGAAGATGTCCCAGGAGGCGTTGTCGTAGAAGATCATGTCGTCGCCGTCGGGCCCGGCGCGTTGGGTGTCGTTGACGAGGGCGCCTTTGAAGCCGTAGGTTTGGACGCAGCGGCGGAGTTCGGAGGCGGCTTCTTGGGGGTTGTGCATGGAGAGGGTCCTTCAGTTGGGAATTAGAGTTAGTGAGGTAAGGTAGTATGTGGGGTATGGGGGGAGGTTTACGCAAATGCGCCAAAGCGATCGGGTTTATCCCGGATCTGCTCTGCGATGTAGTCGTTGATTTCCACGGCTAGGGCTTGGGCTTCGACGGGATCCCAGATGTCTTGGACACCCGGGGCTGTGTAGGAGAGGATCTGGTATCCCACGCCGTATTTGTCGGCATGTTCGATGCGCAGCTTGTTGATGTCGGTGATCTCCTTGACGTGGGTTTCGGGGTCGGTGGAGAAGAGACTGGCCCACCAGCGCGTCTTCTCTTCGAAGCGGGGAAGCGCGAAGGCTTCTTCGAGGGCAATTTTGCCGAGCATATTGTGTATAGTGAGATAGGAGTAGACGAGGAATAAAAGTAAACTGGGGTATTGTACAATTTGCTGGGAAGAAGTGAGGAGTAAGGGCTACTTTATAAACCGGGTGATGCCATCATAGAGAGAGAGCAGAGGCGGGTCGGAAGCGGGTATGTTCCCCCTCTCGACCCTTTGCCGACCCATGGACTCTTTGGTCAAATAACATTAAAGTCTGTGGAGTATGGACTATGGATAGTGGAGATGGATAGATAGTACCTGGATCTATCTATCCGTCTGCTGTTCCGACAGCTAGCAGGGGTGTCTGCATCCGACTATGCGGATGGGCTATGGATTGACAGCGGAGTGGCATACAGTCGGCCAGAGTGGATGTCGTCACCATAGAGACTTGCAGACGTGCATTATCACCAGCTTATAGAAACATGTTCCCTTGTATTTTACAGCACGTTCTTTGACCAGTAATTGTCGGTACAGCTGGGATAACAGTCCAGATGTAGTCGGTTTAGGGAAACTGGTGCCATTGCGGAATGCGGGGTAAGACTGTGACGTTGAAGAGCTGTAAGGAGATCCGAACGGAAAAGCGGCATCAGAACCATCGGATGATCCAACACTATCTACTTATCCTGGGATAAGGATAGTAGCATCAATGGTATGGCTCCATCCGACGGGCCTGGCGCGATCCGACGGTGGAGTAAGAGTGACCCCGCACACCAGTCAATGTTCTAAGCGACGGCGATCCGGGGAATTGAAGATGCGAATTGAGTCTCGGTAATCTTTTCCATCCGTGCTTTGTCTGTCACCTTCATTTCCCAGAACATCCACGAGATTTAGATCTGGAATCGTAAATTGCCCCGATGTTGACGGATGCAGTCTAGATGGAAAAGAAAACTATGTTTGGCATCTGGGGTTGCATGGCCATGCGGATGTCAAACCCGCAATCCAACATGGAGGGTGGCCTCATTGCAGCAAACGAGGCTTGTACAACCTCACTGCTGCCCACTGATTGCCCAGAATGCCACTGCTGGCGACAGGGAACCACGTTTGTGATCACGACCAAAGGCCGTCTCTAAGCCTCAAGGACCAGCCAACCCCAGAGACTGGATGAGTCTCATTCCCTCCTTTGTCTTGCATGTGTCCACGGTGAATGAATCGTGTCTCTCCCTGTCGCTCGTTAGTCAGACTCCAGCCTCTCTCTCTCTTTTCTCTCCCATACACTCTCACCAAAGCATAAACAAGCAACGCGTCCGGCCTAAGCAATCAATTTGATTCGGTGGCCTGTAGATGTCTATGCCCCGGGATGTTGGCTGAAACGGTGAGTCGACAAATGTTCCAGTTGTGCAAGTGGTGATGCATCCCAAGACTCCACTTTTCTGCACGCATTTTCTTCCCTATCCCTGCATCACATCCTACGCGTTGAACAGTTCTTTGTATCATCCAGTTTATCGCTGGTAGACCTGCTTGGCTCGTCTGTTCACATCCGCTCTTCTCACACTACACTTCTTTGTCATTGCTTGCATCCTTTGTTGATGCACCTCGGAGTGGCGCCAACGGTCCAGCCAGGTTTGCGATCCATCCTTGTGCAATGGGCCATTCATGTTGATGTCTCGTCTCGGTCACTCATTTGTTTCTCCATTTATTCCTATTCAAATAACTCTTCGCGTTAGCGACGACCTGCTAATTCTTGCCGATCTTCACGCAGACTTTTGTTTCGACACCCCCCACAGTATCAGCTGCCATCATCGCGACCAGATCCCAATATCTGGAAATGTTTGGAAAAGAGGAGTGCCCGGTCATCGGGGAGCCCATCTTCGAAAACAAGCCCTCGAATGATGAATATGCATCTGACCATAGAGAAAACATTCGTCTCCAGCGTTCCTTTGGAACAGCTGCAGAGCGGGCGCGCCGAAACATGAACGCGAAGCTTGCCAATCCCCTGGCCGGATACACCCAGGAGGAACTACGCCGGCAGGGCATCAACTTCGCCATCACTCACCAGATGGGTGACGAAGAGGATGTGCGTGCCTTTGCAATGGGTGCCATGTTGGCGCAGGTCCCTGAAAGATATGCAGAGGTGCCCGGCCTGACGCCCCAGGAGTTGGCAGTTCTAGAGAATGAATACGCTCATCGCTGGTCCCAGCCGTGGACAATGTACCTGGTCATTTGCTTGTGTTCCCTGTCGGCTGCTGTCCAGGGAATGGGTAAGTCCAAGCCTTTTCTTCAACAGGCCTGATGTGGCACGACACAGGCTAAGGCAATCATGCACCTGCAGACGAAACTGTCGTCAATGGCGCCCAGATTTTCTATAAGCATCAGTTCGGTATTGATCGTGGCAGCGAATCGAGGTCGAACTGGCTGCTTGGCCTCGTAAACTGCGCACCCTACATGTGTTGTGCTCTGATCGGCTGCTGGTTAACCGTCCCGTTCAATGCTTGGTTCGGCCGACGAGGCACCATCTTCATTACCTGTTGTTTTTCGGCCATCACCTGTCTCTGGCAGGGGTTCGTCAACACCTGGTGGCACATGTTCATTGCGCGCTTTGCCCTGGGCTTTGGCATTGGTCCCAAGTCAGCCACCGTCCCGATCTACGCCGCAGAAACTGCCCCTCCGGTCATTCGTGGTGCCTTGGTCATGCAATGGCAGATGTGGACCGCGTTTGGCATCATGTTTGGCTACGTTGCCGACCTGGCCTTCTTCGAAATACAGGACCCTGCAGGGATTGTCGGTCTCAACTGGCGCTTGATGATGGCCTCAGCCTTGTTTCCAGCCCTTCTCGTCTGCTGCTTTGTGTTCACGTGTCCTGAGTCGCCTCGTTGGTACATGTCGCGCAACCGCTATGACAAGGCCTATGAGTCCATGTGCAGTTTACGTTTCAACAAGGTCCAGGCTGCGCGTGACTTGTACTACATGCACACGTTGCTGCAGGCAGAGACAGGCATGAAACTGGGACAAAACAAACTCATCGAGCTTATCGCCGTTCCCCGAAACCGGCGCGCGCTGATTGCGTCGGAGCTCGTCATGTTCATGCAACAGGTATGTCAACCACAACTGCAATTCCCAACTGAGCTGCTGCTAACCGATGCATTAGTTCTGCGGTATGATACCGAGTATCTCTAGTATGTAAATACTAACTCTGCTGCAGGTGTCAATGTTATTGCCTACTATTCATCTGAGATTTTCCTCGGGACTACGGGAAATTCACTGACGCAGTTGTCTGTATCAAACCAGCGGAAAGCACTGGCAGCCTCTTTTGGCTGGGGTATGATCAACTGGCTTTTCGCTATACCGGCTGTATACACAATTGATACCTTTGGCCGTCGCAACCTTCTTCTCACCACGTTTCCTCTAATGGCGCTGTCTATGTTCTTCACCGGTTTTAGCTTCTGGATACCGGAAGATACACACTCCTCAGCCCGGCTTGGATGCATTGCGTTAGGCACGTATCTATTCGCGATAGTGTATTCTGTCGGGGAGGGCCCAGTCCCATTCACC